AGAGTAAATAGTGATATTTAAAGCCCACATAAACCAAATGGGATCCTCTATCATTTTTAAGAATGTAGGAGTCCCGAAACCAAAATGTTTGACAACTGCTTTGTAGTAATCCAAATCATTATTGCGCCAGCCTTTTTTCTTACACTTTATTCATTAAATACTTCCCCACAGTGAAATTCAGGTCGTTCTCGAGTTATGACCACAATTCAGCCCAAAATTTCTGAATTTCTGTGAAGTGAATCTGGCTTTCCCCATTGGCTTTGCTTGTCAGACCCCAGGACACTGCAACCGTCATAAATATGAACCACTAATCAGCCAAGCATCTGAATGTTGATCATGGGACCATGGGGATGCTTGCAAAGGTTGCAAGTGGGAAAAACAGTCATAAGTCACTTTTTCCAGTGCTGTTGTAACTTTGAATGGTCACTAAATGAACTGTTGTAAGTGGAGGACTACCTCTACCTCTAATGGGCATTCTTTTTGTGTCTTAAGCTTTCAGGGGCTGGAAATGACTTCCTCAAAAACAATCTGAATTTGACAATTAATATATACATGGATATAACTATGTAGTAGTCTATGGATGACCAACAAAAATACAAAAATGCAAATGGATCTTCATTCTCCTTTCTTCTAGGTCTTTTTCTTCATGATCTGTAATTTATGACCACTTGTCATTTTCCATCTTTATTAGGTTGTTTTGTTATCTGTCCCTATACATACACACACATACTTCAAACTTTGCAATTTCTTAATTTATTTCTTACTTCATTTAAGAACTAAGGTACTTCATGTTACCTTCCCCAAAATCCAGTGAAACCTGTTAGGCTGACTTGATGAATGGAGATTTAAATGTTTCACATTCTACATCTAAGACTTTAGACATGGCCTCAGAGTGATTTTTCCTAGCTTACAGCTACTTCTTTCTTGTACATGGATGGTACTAGTGATTACTTAAAGATCCATACACAAAGAACATAAAAGATAATGAAAGCTAAGGGGATATTGTTCCTATGTATATTGCTTTCAGATGTATATAAAATCAGAGAAGATTTTTCAATTTCATATTTCAAATCTGTTGTTGATACAGATATTCAGAGATGCCTATTCAAAAATATCAGATTTGCAATCTCCATCTGTATTTTTGCAGTCTCTTAGGAATAGGGAAAAACTCACAGATAAAACTATTTTTCTTTTCTCAGATGTCAGGATTTTCTAAACGGAAAAGAACTGCAATAAAACTAGACATTTCAAAAGATGAACTACCTTCCTTCCTTAAATCGTGAGTTAAAATTTATGATTAGTGTGTTCTAATTTCTATTCAATCTTTGTACCTGGAGTTGATATTAGGACATCTAGTAATATTTGTAGCATTTTGGGATTTGCTGAAGTTTACAGGCAATAAGTGTGTACATACAATGATAATACCTGGCTTGTTTGACTTGTTCATAAAGCCTAACAAAACCAATAAGTTTGAAAGAGTGAGAGTATCAGATAAATCAACAGGATCTTTTGCATACTGCTTCACTATGTTCACTGTTTCTGTGTTTGTTTTCTGCTCTCCTATGAGCTCATGATGTGAAAACAAGAAAGGGGAAAATGGATAAACATAAATATGGAATTTATCCATGCAAATTAAAATGTTTGCTATATCCTAGATATGGAATTTAGGGATAGAATTAGAAGAATTGTTCTTTTAGTGCACTTATTAAATGCTGTTGCTGGTTTTGTTAGGTTTTTTTATTTTAGTTTGTGAAATCTATGCAGAAAAAGCTTGCTATGAGTTGATTGCAAAAATGCTTGAATCAATGGGCTGATTGCAAGCTCAAAATACAAAACCAGGCTATGAGTAATTGCTTAAAATTGTATAACTTTGTGTAACAATGGAATGCTTCTCCAACAAAGTTGCTAGTGGCAATAGCTAACTGGCTACTATTGTATCCACAATGCATTGTTGCAATTTCTTTCTAGAATTATGGGAACTTTAAAAAAAACAGGTGTTTCAGGTGTTGGGAAAGACACCTGAAGGTTCACAGATTAAGTGTGATTGGCATTCTGTCACTTGTTATAAATAAAAGATAAGTTTTCTTTCACCATGAATTTTGATATTTTGTTGTCATAAATTCATTTACTGATTGAGAATTTACTGATTGTGAATTGTGACTGATGCAAGTCTTTTGTCTAGGGCAACATATACATTTTAGCATCTAAATGCATGCAACTCCTTTGTTAAAATACCTCATATTTTAAGGACAGCGCGCTGTATAATCCCATTTATTACAAACTTCCCCATCTCTTGTGCAGATCTTCAGAATCAGAAGATGAACAATATGAAGAGGAATGGGTCCCCAAAAAGGAAGTCTCACATAAGGCCAAAGTGCCAAAACCCAAAGTACCAAGAGTTGAGAAAAAACCAGTGACCAAGAAGAAAGCCACTGTAGCTAAGAAAGGTACTAAGAAGCTAGCGATAAAAGAGGATCCGGTAAGTAATTGAAGCTAGGAAGCCATTTAGTTTTCAAGACATTTGAGAGGGAGTAAGAGAAGGCAAAGATTATTTTGTGGAGATTTATCTGTGTTCGTCACTATTTCAAATTCCCCTGATTTGGTTCAGTTCTTTTGCATAGATCCAACAACCTGATTTACCTAGAAACTTCTAAATTATATAAGTTATTGGAATGGAAAAATGGGAACTCTAAATGCACGGACACTGAGCTACATGCAAGAAAAATCTGCCCTATGTTTTTTCCTGACTCACTTTAACCTCTGTAATTGATCCAGCATAATTGATGTGAAATTCCTTGAAACATGATAATACTTTTGCATTTGAACCTTTGGGATGTATGTTGGAGCTTTTTATTATAAATCAAATAGAAATTATAATTTGCTCATATCATACTGTCATACTGAACAACAACCAAAATTCAAGTCCTGCTGGAAAGCATTCAAATAGTCCTTGGCTTACAACAGCAGTTGGGATTAGAATTGCCAGTATTAAGCTAAGTGATGGTAAAGGTGAGTGTCAATGACTATTCCAACAGTCCTATTTGCCGTGATTAAGCAAGGACCAGTTCCCATAGGCTTCCCTGTTGACTTGTGGGAAATCAGTAGGGAATGTCAGAAATTACAATAACATGACTATGGGGGTGCTGTGATGGCCAGAACTTCCAAGGACCCATCATAAGTCCTCTTTGTTCAGCACCATCACAAACTGTTGCTGAACAAATGATCATAAGTGAAGAAAGAGGGGTGGGGGTGCAGCAACAGTAGACATGGACTACCATTGTCTTCCCTTCTTTCTGGGTAAGGACCCAATAGGAGGCTACCCTTCTAGATCTTACTAAATAGGCAAAAACCCGCTGGGAAGAGGCAGTTCCAAATAATGCTGCTGGAGCTATATACGTGGTGCATAATACTCTTAATTGCAATCTGTTACCATAGAAAGCAAATTATATTAGGGATAATCATTTTTCTGTTCCAACTATGTGCCTGAAAATTGATTCACATTTGATCTTGAATCTTGGATTAAAGGAGAAAGTAGGTTGGTTTTAAGAGCAGTTATCTTCAGGTGCTTCTGATTGTTGACCTGTAGTCAGAGACAGTAGCAATGGTCCTTCCTGAGGCACTCATGTTTTCTGCACTTGCAGTTTACTAAGCAGAATGCTGATATCTATAGTAGCTTTTCCCCCACTCGATGACATCCATTCCTCCACCATCCTAAAGGGTATGACGATATGTAGTAAGTCATTGATGTTGTTTATGTTCAGACTGCCTGTGGTCAATATTAATATCTCTTAATATGTTTTGGTGGTTTGAGTAGGTAAGTCCTTTGCCTATTGCCATACCTGGAGAAACAGAAAAAAAGACAGAGGAAGATGTCACAATGAGATGTTCAACCAAAAAACCTGCAGTGAAGAAAGTTGGCAGCATTAAAGGTGAATCTGGCTCAGTAAATACAGATAAACCATCCACAAGTGCTGCAGTGTCTAAAAAAAAAATTAAGATGGAAGAGTCTGAAGAAGATTTTACATTTGATGAACCTCCCTTAAAAAAAATTAAAACAGGATGTCCTCAGGAGAAATCTGTAAAATATGTGGCAGGTGACAAACTGAATGGGGACCATAAAATGAACTGGGACATTGTAGAGGTATGTAGTGTTTTGATTTTTATAACAGAACTAACATATATCTATACTGTTGGAGGAAACTCTCTAGAATGAAGATGTACATCCATTTTATTTCTGATATAATACCTCATCTGGATGTATTCCAAAAAGTATTTATTTTTATAAAACAAACCACATTGTCTTCTCTCTTTATAATAAGAATTTATCCTGAGCATTAGCTATGGAACAGGAAGGTTACAGTTAGTATTATATTTCACAAGAAAATATCAAAAATGTTATTTTGTTACTTGCAAGTAAAAGAAAAAATATGACAGAATTTTTTTCAATGTTGACTTCAACTTTTGCTGGTGAAAGATTAGAAAATATTCCAGGATTTAGAAAGTGGTAAAAGAAAACATGCAAGATCAATCTTAGTTTGGTATGCTGTAGTAAAAATATATTCCAGCTCCATTTTTATCACATTGAAATGAGAGGCATGTTTCAATTTTCTGAGTGTTTTGGGGAACATACACATTGTCTTTTAATAGCAATAGCACTTAGACTTATATACCGCTTTATGGTGCTTTATAGCCCTCTCTAAGCGGTTTACAGAGTCAGCATATTGCCCCCAACAATTTGGGTCCTCATTTTACCTATTCGGAAGGATGGAAGGCTGAGTCAACCTTGATCCTGGTGAGATTCGATCTGCCAAATTGCAGACATCTGGCTGCAGCAGAAGTAGCTTGCAGTCCTGCATTCTAACCACTGTGCCACCGAGGCTCTTTGGAAAATATTGGGGAAGGAAAGATTTATCACTGTTTACCAGACGAATAAGAGTTCCTTCTATTTCTTTTTTGTCTTGTAATTTAAAAGAAAAAAATACTAATTGTTGTAGTGCAGGGGTATCAAGCTCGCAGTCCGAGGGCCGAATGCATCACGTGTTGGCCAGGCCCATCCCCGGTTTAGCGAAGGGAGGGAAAGTTGAGATATGTTACGTGACAATGCTGTGTCATTGTGATTTTGACATCCCTGTTTCTAGTGGGTGGTGAAACTCTTCATTCAGCATCTCACACATTCCCAAGAGCATGGTAGGCAGCTTGATGCTATGTGCCCCCATTATGTAATAAACATTTTTTCTCAGTTTCTGAAACTGTTTAACTGTATTTGTTAATGTAATTTTTAAAGGAAGCTGCCATTCTAATAAACATCCTCATCAATGATTTTATTTATATCTATGAGGCTTAAATTTCTCTCCCCCTCCTTTTCTCCCCCATTCTAGCAAATATCTGCTTCAGTGGTTTTATTTATTTCTGAGAAGCTTCTAATCCTCTTCCCTTCCTCCCTCCCTCCCAACATTGATTAGTTACAGTAAGCCAAAGTGCTGGGAAAAGAGAAAAGTTAGTGGAAGCTAAATTGTAGAAAGTGTACATGTTGTGGAGCGGCGAAATAACTGAGGCGAACACAGAGCAAACTTCAGCTTTTACTTTATTGTAACAATAAAGGGTTGCCGCGGCTGCCGCGCTAACAAGGCAGCCAGCTGACGGACAACAGCTGATGCCGTTTGACAGCTCCCTTTTATAGCCAGCTGTCAAACGGCATCAGCCAATAGGAATTGTCCATGTTCCCGCTGGAAACACAGACCGGAGTGAAGACTTCAGCTCAGTCTTTTCCGAACGCCACAGTACAGAACTGCTCCTCTGGTAAATGGATGGATGCTTGCACCTGATCACGGGAACTATAAGAGACATTTTGTGGGCATGTTAGGATTCTCAACATTTGGAGTGTGGCTCTCAGTTCAAAAATCTTACTTTTGAAACTGGATTGACAATACCTGTCAACATTTTTTCTATTAGTACCCCAGGAAATGCAATTAAGATACTGTGTTACAGTGCTGGTATTCTACCAGTTTGCCCCAGTTTGACGAAACCGGTAGCTTTGAGAATCATCCGTGAGCGAACCAGTTCACTCCAACGATCAGCTACTGGGCCTGCCCTCCCATCCCAGCTGTATTCTGACCTTTATTTTCTGCTTTTCAAGCTCAGCTGTTTCGTGTGGCACAGTGGATTGCCGCGCGTCAGCTGTTGAAGACATAGGGAGAGTGCAGGATTGCAGGAGGTCAGCAGCAAACCCTCTGCCTGCGCGCAAAGAACACACTCACCGAAATGGTTGTTATACTGGTTGAGTCAACTCTCAGATGAGTAGCAACCACAAGGGTGTTTTTCCCATTCTCTTTTTATGAAGTAACTAATACCTGAGAAAGGGAATATTCAAGTACACTTTTATAATGATGAAGATCCTCCCAATACTATTTCTTAGAATTTTGCCTCCTTTCCACTCTTCAAATTTTCAGGAATGAGAATGAGAATGAGTGAAGTTTGTAAATAAGTATAGTTATTCTTGTATGTTTGCCTTATTAAGTAAATTGCTGTAAGATGATAGCCATAACCATTTCTTCTCCAAGTTTAACATTTTCAGAATCTTTTGAGAGAAAGTCATACTTGGGCCTTTTTACTGTGGGTTGCAGGTTTTGTCACAAAGGACTGATATTGAAGCATGGGTGTGTGCCAATATAATCAAGCTTTTCAATGATGATAATACAATCCCCTTCATTGTTCGGTATCGAAAGGAACTTATCAATAATCTGGAAGCTGATGTGCTGCGTGAGGTGCAACAAGTAATGGAAGAACTACAGTATGTATTAAAGCATTGGGATGGGGGTAGAAAGAGAGAGTAAGCAGTACTTAAGCAATTACTGCAGTATTGTGCGTGTTAACAGAGGAGTTCATGGAGGAAAGCTTACAGATCTCATATCTTATCTGATGTCCAATCATGGAGAGGCTTCTTTTTAACATTCCTGGATTGATACAAAATATTATGATATAAGCAGCCATCTGCAAACTTTGCAGTTATCAGTGAAAATATTGCGCCTCTATATCAGGGAAGCCAATTGGGAAAAAAAGTTTTGAAATCTCTGCGCCAAGGCTGATTCTAAGTAGAAAATTGTTCATCTACTGGAGATTTTGTAACCACATTTTTTCTCAATGAGTCTTGACAAAGAGATTCAATGAGAAACTGTTGGAAAGGATCACTTTCTTGTTAGGCAGTTGTTAGAGAACTTGACAACCCTTATGCTTTGGCCAACTAGAATAGAGCTCTGCCTTTAAGAAAAAGGTTCAAAGCTTTCTAGCAATTCCGCAATTCTTGGAACAGAAATGTCATCCAATAGTATCTGACAGCAATTCCTTCTCTACTTTCAGTCACTTGCATGGCCAGTATTATCATGAGGGGGGTAAATGCAATAGAAAAAGCAAAACTAGCTTTGATTTTAGTTTTCTTTAAAATTCAAGAAAATGAAAATAAATTTGTTTAAAACTCAATTATATAAATGATCCAAGATTTGGGTATAACGTGAAACTGTGAGTAATCATCAGAATCCAAATCTTCCATTTTCTTCTTTTGTACTACACTCAAGAAATGGGCAGTTTTAAGTATGTGAGACTGGACCATCTAATCTTCCCATTCTGACTTTTAATAGCTCTTCATTGTATCTCTTAGGAAAATTTAAATAGAAGGGTACATTTTCATTTAAGTGATTAACTTGAAAACTCTTTTTCAGTGAAAACTGATTACTTTAACTGTGTTTCTACAAGAAGGAACTACTCATGCATTGGTTATGATTTTCACTTAAGAAAGTGCCTTTTCTATTGAGCCAACGGAACAGTTTAGTCTGAGAGTCCCTTTGAGCAATATATATATGGAAGGTTTCACAGTGAGGTGATACTGCCTTAGGGATGCAGCAAAGTTAGGAATAGTATTTATATAAATGCTATTGAATACAAATTTTTAATTCTATCTATGCTTGGTTTTAGGATTTTAGCAAAAAAGGTTCATGTCTCAATACAAAAACTTGAAAAAGAAGGAAAGCTGTCAGAAAGTGTTTTAACTTCATTATTAAACTGTAAAACTTTGGAGGAGCTGGACCATGTGGTTAGTATAATATCTTAATGCAAATTTTCATTTACCTTATTGTGCATTGGATTTATTTCCAAACATTGCTAAACTCTTTTATGGAAATTGTGGCCATAATCTTTTAGAAGCCATTTGATACTAGGTTAGATCATTACTATATTATCTAATAACAGTTCTACACAGTTTAAGATTTTAACTTTTCTCTGCGAGATCTCTTAATGCATCACATTACTGAGCTACTGAAATATGGCTCAATCCTGGTTCATATATGATACAAGCTATTCTCTCAGGCAAGAGAGAGTTGTAAAGGCAAATTACCAAAAGCATAAAAAGGAAGGAAGAGTCAAGACTCATGGTAGTTACTGGAAGTGCAGTAAAATCATAGGGCTTTTAGTATTAATGCCATGTATATTATTTTTACATTATTTGCATCATTATAGCATTATACTAGTGATGAAAAGCATGAAGTTTGATCTGTTGCATGCAAAATTATGTCTCATTAAGCTTTGCTAAATATAGGTTTCAACTGTAGTTATTATTATTATTATTTGTAAAGATGGCTCTTTGAATTTCACCAATGCATTTTTTATTCAAAATCTATTATACCAATTGGAACTAAAATAGATCTGAAATGAAAAAGAAGTAAGGCAATTAAAAGTGTTGTTTGCTAGTCTACAGAGTGAAAATTGAGTTAAGACTGCTTTAGCCTTAGCTGAAATATTTCTCTCCTTTCAGTCAGTATAGCATGTACTTCTGGAAAATTCTTTGCCTTTGAAGAAGGCATTTGTTCAAAACATTCTCATTGCATAATTGCTTTTAGTTAACAGTTTGAAGCTGGCTTTTATAAGTCATTAGATTTGAAATCCACATTTTTGCTCCCTATGAACTAAGACTGGTATCCTATTCCCCCCCCCCCCCCCAGTGTGGGAAATCTCATAAAACTCAGTGTTATATTTTCATAAGCATATGGAATTATGCTATAAACATGTACTCTAAAAATTAGACTTGAAATATCCTTGGAATTATGAATCATAAGAGAAGATTAAGGGTTATGAATGAATTGCTACCCAGGAAAGATTGTTAGCAATTATTGACCTTTTTCATTAATAAATACTTCCTAAAGGAAGCCTGGGTTTCATTATCAGGATACACTCTTGGTCTACCTTCTTATATAATCCCAACTTTAGAAATAACAGTGGGTTTCAATAGGACTTCAGTAGGGTTTGCCCCTAGCATTGGTGTCTCTCACACACACACACACAGAGTAGTCACTCTTTATTGAATAAGTGACACTCAGATTCTCACTTTATGCCAAATATAAAATATTTGGGTTAAATACTAGGGTTGGCTGGCTTCATACAGCACACTAAGCTAAGCAAACCAGCTACGTCACAATTTACCATGTGTGAACTAACCTGAGTTAAAAGAAGAATGATGACTATAACAATATTTTTAAATAAAGCAGTTTATTTATAGCATAAGGATAGGCGGGGGTGGGATGCTACCGGTTCTGCCTGGCTCTATAGAACCGGTAGCTCTGAAGAGCAGCAGACACTGAACCAGTTCTGTGTTTGCTGCTGTTTGGCCCACCCGCCTGCCCAGGCTCTTACCTGTCCTTTATTTCCTGCTTTTTCAACCTCAGCTGCTTTGCGCGGCACAGCTGAGGTTGAAAAAGCAGGAAAAAAGAGGCTTTTAAAATGTTGTGCACCCACGTGCAACACTTTTCAGCTGTCCGGGTGGCACAGCTTAAGGTTTTTTACACGCGCGCGCAGCAAAACGTAGTCACTGAACCAGTAGTAACACCGGTTGAATCCCACACCTGGTTATAGATATATTGTATATGGCAGACTTGCTCACTGTGTGGGTCAGGAGGGCTTTGGCTATTTTCACTGGGATGACCAAAACAATGAAGAGGTAAAAATGTAACGATAGATTTAAGTTAAACAAGGTTAAATTCTCATTGAATGTTAGAAAAAAAACTTGAAATGCTGTACAGGTACTATTCAACTTACAACCACAATTGAGCCCAAAATGTATATTGTTAAATGAAAAATTTGTTAAGTGAATTTGTCCCATTTTATGATTTTACTTGCCACATTTGTTAAGCGTATCACTGCAGTTGTTAAATTAGTAACATGATGGTTAAGTGAATCTAGGTTCTTCATTGACTTTGCTTATCAGAACATCACAAAATGACTCCTGAACTCTGCAATCGTCATAAGTATGAGTCAGTTGTCAAGCATCTGAATGTAAATCATGTGGCCATTGGGATGCTGCAATGGTCGTAAGCATGAAAAATGGTCATGTCACTATTTTCAGCGCCGTTGTAACTTCAAACAGTTACTAAATGAACTGTTGTAAGTTGAGGACTACCATATAGGTAATCAATTACCTAGGAGCCCATTGGACCAGTTAATTGATCTCTGATAATGCTGTGATTCTATATACTAGATATCATCACTTTGTTTTCATCCTGTAGACAGAAAAAGCATAAAAATGTGAAAATTTGCGACAATAAAATTACATACATACACATGCATGCATAAACACATACACAATATATGTATAGCCCTTATCGCTTAGACTCATACGATATTATCTATTATAGTATGCACCATATAAAACTGGAAGCAAAGGAACTAAAGCACAAAGAGCTAAACAGTTGGGCTTGGAACAGGCAGCCAACTTGCTCATTGAGAATCCAAAGGAACTCAACTTACTCTTTTACGTCAAGTCCAATGTCGAAGGTAAGAATGTATTTTTTTAGAAGTATTAAGAGTATATAAACAGAAATATTTTACTGAGTAAGAGTGGTTGTTTGAGTATGGTTCTGCAGTTTGGTGGAAACTTGTAGCCAGTGAACACTAGCTCCTTTTGAAAACAGCAAAGGGCTTTGTCTGCAGCAGATCCAACCTTTTTTCTGAATTATCTATTGTCCTGGTTAGAAAGTCTGGAGGCCTGGTGATAATCAATAGAGACAGTACTGGGTAGATTAACTTGGCTTGCGATAATATTCTCTCTATGTCTTTTCTTCAGATGCTTGCTGAATATGAACAGAAACTAATTAAGTGGATTGGAGAACTTTCCCCCCAACCCACC